TCAATTATCACAATTTTCAATTCAGACACCAAAATAGAAAAAAAATACAAGTAGAAGCACAAAAATAAGATTATCCCAATTAGTAATGGATGCAAAATTTTATTTTAAATTTTACTTATTGTTTGTTAGAAATCTCGGCCCATAAACCCAATGTGTTATCGAAAATGTTGAAAGTGTAGAAGCCCACTTTAAGGATATCCAGAATTTAGATTTGGGTTGGCCTTTCTATAATGAAATTTGAAGGGCTAGCCAACTACCAAACGATGTCGTAGTTAAATTGAACTGAAGAAATTGGCTTACGTATGCAGATTATGTATTCTCTCGTGTTATTTAATATTTTAATAAAAATTTTATATTGCAACTAAATAACATAACATAAGTTTTTGGAGAATACTTTCAAATTAGCAATAGGTTATTTTTCTGAAACAAATGAACAATAATAAAAATATTTTCAAATTTTTGTGTGAACATAAATATACAAAGCTAAGAAAATTCAAATCCAATTTCAAACTTGATTCCTGATTTATATTTAATATTGATTTTGGATAATTTTTCTTTAATTCCTGATTTGATGAAATTAATCATTTCATTCCTTTATTTGGAAAATAGATTAATAAATCCATATGTTTTTAATAAATGTAAGGGATTATCAAATCCATCTATTTTTAAAAAATTCAATTCTCACTTTGTGATTGTAATATTTGCAGGAAATGCAATCTGACTTGATTTCATTCATTACTTGCATAATTGCTTAACTTTTTTTTTTTTTTCGTTTTCTAATACCAAGTGAAGTTATAGATTTAAAAAGTTAATTTCGCTCCATTTATTATTAACGAATTCAAAATGTAAAATGTATTTACAAATGAACTGTAAATAGAATTAATTTGTAAATGAATTTTTGATGTTTAGAATAAATTTAAAATTTAAAATTCATTTATCATATTGTGGTGAGGTGGAAGAGGATACAAATAAGCAATATTTTGCTTTGTTAGATAATTTTTCATTTTCTCAAGTTTCTTTATGTTAGTAGAACTTGTAACAAGGTAAGTATGCTTTTTTAGCTTATCTAGATGAGCAAATTTGATTGAGGAAATTCCTCAATCTTTTGACATAATTGTAAGAATTAAGCTAGCCTTTTCTGTTTTTCTATGATATATATTTATCCACCTTTTTTCTTAAAAAATAAAAATAAAGATATAGTTACATTTATTTCTTAAAATACTCTGACTATAATAATTTTAGAAGGCTTGACACCACTCTCCGCCTCATCAGACTGCTTTCCTAAGTTAGACTGTCATAGGCCTTCCAACTTATGATTGATTCGTCTTGAACTATATATCTACTGAAGGGGTTCAACTCTAATACCATTTATGATGCCTTAGTTCTAACCACTAGAGGAATCGTCCACTTTAGTGATTTTGTCTCGTACATGAAATGAAGAATTTTTTATAAAATCACCTATTCTATGATTTTTTTAAAAAATATACGCTAACTGGAGTTTTTCCAACTTTCCCTACCTTCTACCAAAAAATTAGTATTTCAAAACTTTGACTTTTTGTATTTGAAAACTTTCTCTTTAAATTTATTCACATTTAATATAATAAATAAATATAAATATATAAATGCATAGAGAAATGAATGAATCTAGATATAGACATGCTTCAATCAAAAAAATAAAAAAAATATAAAAAATTTAAATATTCGTAAATTTAAAAATTTAAAGCAATAAAGAACGATGTGGTGCAAATTGAAGTAAATGTAATCTTCTGTAATCCTTCACCAATGAAATGAACTATTTCCTGTTTTGGGTTCAATTTTCATATTCTAATGTGTGTTTATATATATCCCTGTTTGGCGTTTCAATTTTCATGATTTCTTAATGCTGTGTTTATATATATAGGTAATATATATATTAATATATATATATATGTAAAATGAATCTGCATGTAAAATGAATCTGCACTTTGTCCGCAAGCTCTATAACTAATTATAATAACAAAATGAAAGCTATATTTAGTAGTTTTCAAGCTTCCAATTTTATAAAATTTGACTTTTAATTTTCCGAAATATGACTACTAAACTACATTTGCTGCGTTTGATTCACAGACTTCGATATGTATGTAAATTACTATATTACCACAATAGTAATCTCCACGCTCTTCAAATATATATAATCATGTCCTCATTTTTTTCGTGTTTTTAAATTTTTAAAATTCTATCTATTAAGTAATATAATTATAAATTAAATTTCACGAGTTTTTCATATATTTTTTTACGTAAACAAATCATCATCATTATATTGTCATGATCATTATATATAGGCGGTATATAATATTAGGGTTAGTGATATATAATAAATATATAAATGAGAAATATTATGTTTTTCTATATATTGATATGACACTTTCTTATGAAAGTGAAACTCCTAATATTTGAGTATTGTGATTTATCTTTCTTTGAATTTTTTGAGTGTTTTTTTTATTCATTTTTTCTCTCCCATTATTTACTTTCAATAATTGATTGTCTTTTCATTTTATGAGTTTTAAATTCATTTAATTATGGCAATATAACAAATTTAAATATTTCAATTATATTTTTTAGATTTTCATTATTTACATATGCTATTAGTTTTAATTATATTTTTTTATTAATTTTTAAATTCAAATCAAATATGCTATTTATTTTTTTGGTAGAAATCAAATATATGATAGAAAAACAATACAATGTCTAAATCTTTAAATTTTCATAATTTACAAAAATAGTATGATAGAAAAACAATACAAGTCTAAATCTTAAAAAAGTTTGCATAATTTAGCAAATATAGAAATTTTATTTTATGCTTAATCAACTTCAAATCAAAATATTAGTAAATGGTTAAACTTAATAATTGAAAAATGTTCAAAAAACCATGTGTTTAAAAATACACATTTGATTTATTTGTTTGGTCTAATGATTTTTAATATGGAATAAAAATTTATCAGGGCGTAGAAATTTTGGTTTTTTTCTCACGATAATAGACGCTATCAGAGTGTATCTGATTAAGAATATTCATATAGTTTAAAAATAAATACATAAGATAACAGTGGATGAGTTAAATATCTCGTTTTGTTTGCGGTTTCTTTGATTTGTCAGTGTTATGTTAATTATATAAAAGATACAAAGAATATTTAGTGTTTTTTCTATGAATAAGTTCGAGGTATCGTATTCAAATCCGATAATATGTGTTAGAGTCTTTACAATTCAAATTTATTTTTTGTATGACTAATAGTTGGTAGAAATCAAATATATGATAGAAAAACAATACAATGTCTAAATCTTTAAATTTTCATAATTTACAAATATAAAATTTTTATTTTTATGTAATCTAAACTTCAAATCAAATATAGTATGTTTAAAACTTTAATAATTTGAAAAATGTTCAAAAACCATGTGTTTCAAAATACACATTATTTTTAGTTTGTTTGGTAATGATTTTTAATATTTGAGTAAATTATTAGGTATAAATTTTGGTTTTTTTCTCACGATAAGTAACCTATCAATGTTCGAGAATATCTCATATAGTTTAAAAATAATAAGATAAGATGATGAGTAATATTCTTCTTTTTTTTTTTTCTTTTTCTTTTGATTTTCAGTTTGTTATTAATTATAAAGATACAAATTTAGTTTTTTTTTTCTTATGATAAGTTGAGTATTTTCAAATCGATAATATTTGAGATCTTTAAATTCAATTTATTGTTTGTATGACTATATCGAATTTATCATGAAAAAAGTTACTGAATTTATCATGAAAAGGGCTACCTACGTGGTTTTTCTTATTTTAATTTAAAATTCAAAGAATTTGGTTGACGTTAAATTAGTGGTTTTAGCTTTTAACTTTTTTTTTTTGGCTGATTGGGAATTCGAATATTTATATATCGTAATATATAAACAGAAAGTTTAAGATTTTTTTTTGTTTCACTATTCTATTTTTTCTCTTTTTTTTTTATTTTTAAATTTCTTTTTATTGTTGGAAGCTTAAATTAATTCTTTATTTTAACTTCTTTAATTTATTGTCGATTGAAAGAAGAATATTGTGTTATTTCATCACTTTGTTTGAGTCATTTACTTGGTTTTATTTTTTCATTTTATATTTTGCTTAGTTTAGATTTATTTTTGCAGGGATTTAAGTGTGTGCAATTTTAAAGGATTTATTTTTAGGCAATTAGATAAATCTATACAAAAAATAAAGTTGTTATATTATTTTAAATACCTACAAGACTTTATATCTAATTTCAGTCACTTTTTTCCTAAAAAAATAAATTTCTATAATTTATTCAACATATATATCTTATATTTGAAATGAAAAAAATAATTATTATATAATCGTGCGAAGTATGGAGAACCATCTAGTTATTAAATAATCAAGAATAATAATTTGCAAATTGAAACCATAAGGATGGAATTATCAATTAGCTGGAAAATCACATCATTATAATTAAAAAGATATCTAAACAGTTATGATGATAAATGTGTACCTAGGAGCTTAATTTCTAAAGCATGCATAGATGCATTTATTTATTTATGAGAGGAAAAAAATAAATAAAAGAGTGTTAAATATCGTAAACAAGGAAAATTTGACAAGATAATAACACGTGTAGTGATGGTGAGCTAAGTTGCGAAAAGACAGTCAAACGGTTGGGCACACGTGTGAGTATGTGATCGAAGTGGGAAAAATATTCAGATTTCTTGTCAAGAGTATGAATGACAACTTCTAACACATAGATGGCAATAATGTTGATAAATGGGAAATGAGTGGCAATAAAGTCATTGTACCTTCAATAGCGAAATGTGTCTAGATGAACACTTGGACACACGTGACATGACCCGCCCTTTAGACATACATATACAGTAATTTATCAAAAAACGTAAAAACACAACGTAATTACAGCAAATTTTGCTTTTGCTTGTTAGGCAAAGTTTGAGGTGACGTGTCTAGATTGCTTTTCATATATAAGCAATCATACTCTCCTATTTTTCCTTGCTTTCCCTCATTTTGCAGGAAGCCAAAATGGGTTCCCATTGTCTTTCCCTTCACCTCCGTTCCTGAGCCCTTCTTACTACATTTACGGCTTGATCATTGGCTCTTTCTCTCTCAACAAGGCGAATTCGGCTCATCACAAAATTGTAAGTTCATTCCGACCTATTCTAAATTTTCTTTTCTCTTCTTTTCTCTAAATTTATGAAATTGTCGACGTAGATTGCTGTGGAATCAATATTTCTTTTGTCGTGCTTTGTTTTGATTGGTAAAAATGGCTATATGAAAATTTTGACATTTAAACTCTTAAAATCTAGAATAAAAAGTATATAGATAGGCTTTCTCAATCTCAATCTCAATCTGTGTACAGTACGTTTATGAGTTATTAATTAATTATTTATTTATTTCTTATAAACTATTATTTAATACATGTATCTGCCTATCTGGTGTTATGGCTTAATCTCCTTTTAAAATTACTTTTAGATAAAAATAATTTTCCTTAGAGCATCTGACGTTAATAGAACTTTGGTGAAAACCTGGTTAGAGTAGAATGATTGGCATGCATAATCGCAAAAAATCAAATTTATTATGCAGATTTTGTTTTACTAATGTGAAACATATACAAATTTAAAATCTAAAGCTGCTTTTCTAAATTGTAACGAATTGCTTGATTGTATTCCTTCTGTTTTCTCATTTTGATTAGTTAAGTCAATTACCTGCATCTTCGAATTATTAATGCTTTTTGATTTTGATTGAAAACCCATATTTTGTATTCCCTTTTTGGTTGTAGCTTGTTCTCCAAAGCTTAAGATGTCGGCCACAGCTGGAAGGGTTCTCATGCCTGCAAACAACGGGGTTCGTAGCAGTGCTGATCTCCAGACCCATTGTATATGGCAAAATGTAATTGGTTATGAACCATATGCACCTGTTAAGGATGACTCCAAAAGTTCTTCCCAACACGGGTCCTCAAATGTTGAACCTACCTCTGTTAATGCTTGTGCCAACTTCCAAGGTCTCCTAGCTCTTGCCCATATCACAAATTCCAATCCTGATGAGGCCTGTGGTGCTTGCAGGAAAGGCAATTGTGTTGGGTATCTTGGTCTTCAGTGTAGAAACTTTTTGAGTGTTGGGGACCCAGAAGTAGTTCAGGCTGCAGTTTTGTCTGTGTGGGAAAAAATAAAGGAAAATGGAAAGATTATGGTTATCAGGAATGATGCTACTGAGGAAGTGGAAGACAAGATTGATACTACAGATTTTGAGGTTGATTCAGATATCGAAGGGATTCTAGCTAGAAGATCTGGCAAAAAGAGCAGTTTGAAGGCAAGGTCATCTAGGAAGGACAAGAATTCTAATGAAGTTTTGTTGGATTCTAATTCTGGAGAGAGGAAGAAAAGAGGAAGGTCAAAGAAAAGGAGGAGTGAGAAGAGGAGGACAAATGATTCTGAGGATGAAGGTGAAAGGAAAAGGAGGGAGACTAGGGGAAAGAGGGATGAGTCTTCTGAGGAAAAGAGCGAGCAGCAGCAACATACGAGGAAGAGTAGGAAAGAGAAGAGGGGTAGAAGAAGTCATAGATATTCTAATGAGTCTGATTCAGATGGATCAGATGACTCTGGCTTAAGGCACAGCCAGAGAAGCAGGAAGCCAACATTGACATCTAATTCTAATGTGTGCGTCTCAAATGAACCACGGGTTGGGAGGGCTGCAAAGCGGTCTGAGAAGAGGAGCAAGAACCATCATGAGGAGATTGAGTGAGCACTTGCTAGTGAAGGTAAAGATTCGAGTTCCTAGTTGGATTTCTTACCGATGCATAAATATGCTTGGATAATTTTAACTACACATCTTGTTTGGTGCTGATTATTGATTGTATTCCTTATGAAATGGAGATACCTGGTTGTTGCATATTATAGGGCCAAATGCACAAATTCACCTCTGTATTTATCATAAAAAACTGTGTCATGCTGAATTTTTACTTTGACCTATTAAACACATCAAATCAATTATTTTGCATATAAGAATTGTTGTTAATTTGGAGAAGTTTACAATGTTATTAAAATTTGTAATTTTAGGGGGTACAACAAGCCTTCCATAAAGTTTAGGGTGACACGAGATGTTTTGTGATAAGTATAAGGATGAATTTATATATTTAGCCCATATTAGATAAAAATCATGATTTTGGCACTTGATGGGAGAGGTTAGTTAAGGATTTTTTTACCCTCAACAATGCCATATCATTCTTTATGCGGACACCATAAGACTTTTGCTCTGTGTAGAAATGGAAGGCTAAGTGAATAGGGGAAGAGGTAGAGTTGGTATTGGGGATGGGAGTCAACAGAGATATCAACTTTCGTTATCAAGAAGATAATTTTTCAGCATCGGTAAAATTGTTAACCAACTGAGATTTTATTTTTGCCACTTGTCATGTAGAGTATCACATTGGACCATCCTTGTATAATCTATGATTTAAAAGATTTTTATTCATTAGTTTTGTCATCTGATTGGTGTTTTTGCGCAGTATATGCTGCAGAAAAGTTAATTTTTAGCATCTGTAATGTATCATTGTCTTTTCATCTTTAAAAACCGAGTAAGGGCATGTTGTGAGAGTAATGGTATTCTTCAATTGTCAATTTCTTTGTTGAAAGATTATTCTTGTATCTCTTACTTGGATTTGAGAGAGACGAAAGCCTTTCCATTCATGAAAGGCTTTCTATGCTTTCTCAGGTTTAACATCTCATTTAGATGAAATTACCTAGACAAAGTGGCAAAAGTGAGTGGAGATAAGAAAAGATGGTTGGATATGTAAATAGTATACTTTTGTTAAGGAAAAGAATTATAATGATATTTTCCCCTTTAATATCTATTTGAACATGCTAAATAATTGATTTTAAAATAAAAATTGTTTGTAAAGATGATATTAAGATTGCCTGACTTATTTTGGATTGAAAATTTTGTTTTTTCTTTTGCAGGGATTTGGAGAAGTTTGATTATATCCAGAGCTCCATATCAGAGGTTTCTTTTGCAGCTTGATCTTCTCTAAGAGCAATTTTAAACTCGTTTATGTTGTAAGGCAGTTCTTTCTCTTTCTGTTTCGCTTGAAAGAAAATGTTGGGAGCATTATAAATAAAGATTTAGAGCATTATAAATAGCCATCATAAATACTGAAGTATTTGTATCTGAGCTATTATCTCTTGGTGAACTAAATCATGTGGTTAAACTGAGCTTTCAATCAATCTGGAAAGTTGTGTTATGAAATTTAAATTTTATCCCTAGAATAATTCATTTTATAAACAAGGTTGCTGCCATTTTTTTTTTTTTTTTTTCATAGTTTGGTTAAACTGAGCTTTCAATCAATCTGGAAAGTTGTGTTATGAAATTAAATTTATCCCGAGGAATAAAGTCCATTTGAATAAACAAGGTTGCCTTGCCTATTTTTTTTTTTTTTTTGGAGAGAATACATAGGAAAGGCTCAATGGATTCGTGATAATATTAGGGGTTGAGAATATGGAATACAGTCTTTCCCTACGAAAATATATTACATAATAAAAAATTAGAGATATAATAAAACGTTTCCTAACATCTGCTAAACACAAAAAAAAGATAATAGAAACAAGCCGAGATCAACCAACCAAGAACCAACGACACAATGATTATTAAAAGAGTTGCAAGAGACCAAATTATGTTATTGGTTTACTAAGAGGAAGAGCTATATTCACTAATAGGGCTGGAGGCAGTATAGCATAATTAAGAAAATAGGAAAAATGAATAAACTAAAGAAGAAATAAGAATAAAGAATAATTTACATAAATAAAAAATCAAACAAACACCAAAGAGAATTAATCAGTTATGTCACTAATTGTTAGAGATAAACATTAAGTTTAAGATTTAAGGAATTTTGAAAATATTTTACAGTGTTTTGCCATGAAAAGTTGAACATGAAAAGTTTTATTTTTTTTTCAAATGCAAAACCAAACATCAAAACTCGACACATTCTCTAATAATCTCCAAAGCTACGAATGAATGAACTGACTAGATCAATTAATGTGTCTCACGCGCGTTTGTGCTTATTCTGCTTTACCAATGTTATTCATACGAGGTGAGATATAGCAACAATATTCGAAAAGCTCACCTCCGACTCCTAAGCTTAGAACATATCACGGATGTTCCGAAGCATACAAAAAGTCCAGACAAGAGCAAAAATAAGAAGAAATCATATAAAGCACAAATCAGAAAACCAGACACCAACACCTCCACAAAGAATAGAGAATAATATCAACTTCCCAACATACTATATAATAAGAAGATAAAAAGAAAATCTCCAAATCTAGAGATAATAAACAAAAACCGAGAGAATATCATAATACTGAATCGAGAGAAATCGTCAGAAAAAAAAAAAATTAGAACGAGCACAAAAAGTAAGAATACTATACTACAGAGTGAGAACACGCGGGTCAAAAGACAAGAAAATAAGCATTAAATTCGAAAGAAGTATAGCCCACAGAAATAAAAGTGAATCAGGCAGTTGTGATTAGAAAAATTAGGAACGAAAGAGAACCAAGAAATCGCAAGATAGAGATGAGAAAATGAGAGAAATAGAGAGAGCGACTCAAAAGAGAGAGACAACCTGAACATACCCAATGATATCAGAAAAAAAGAAGAAAAATGAAAAAAAGCGTAGTTAGGAGAGAGCACTAAACAGATTTAACACAGGCGGGGACGGGGTCGCATGGTTAGCAGAGGTACCACGCGAACTTTTTTACAGTTTGCAGAATGCACTTGAACAACAATGTGTCCTAGTATTTAAGTTAATTTGATAGTTTGGACATATTAAGGGATACGGCATCTGAACACTGAGACATATGTATTGGAGACAGAGATTAAAAAAACTCGAGTTAGGAGCTTCAAGGAACACACACTATAACAAAAGAAGCTTAAACAAATAGGTAGTAATTGGTTTATTGTAAATAGGTGAAAAATAATGAATAAGGATAACAGTAGAAGAAGCTGAGATATCTTATAACATATTAAACTGTAATTTGTAAGTGGAGTTAATAATGTAGGTGGGGGGGTATCGAAAATCTAAGAGACCTAAGTTCAACAAGGTGAAGGCGGTCGTCTAAAAATCAATAATCTAGAAAACTAGTAGAAAAGAACAGAGAGTCCACCAATATTATGTAACAAACTAGAAATAATGTAAATAATAGGTTATGATTAATGTGACTTCTTAACTAGAGAGCATCTCAGAAATTAACAACATGCATTTTTTAAATAAAGTAGAGATGCGGTGATTTTCAATAAATGTTAATTTTGAGAAATTTAACTATTTATTTTTTATATAATAATGCGTTATTTTATTAAGTAATTTTAGAGTGGAAATTTTGATTAAATTCTATTACTAGTGTTTAATTTAGCGTAAAAGTTGATTCTATGACAGTAGCATATACGGTCGTGGTCTTTTAGTTTAAAGAGCCTGCTCTGAAGACAACAGACCATCGCTGAGAGAAGAAATGGCAGGCAATTAGAAGAAGTAAGAAAGAGATAAAAAAGTGAGGAGGGAGCGCGAGAATTATATTACATTAGGCAGAAACAGAGGAGTGTAGACGCAGCACCAGAGCCGAGATAGCAGAGCGTGAGCGCATAGCAGGTAGATGCACAGCCCCGGGTCAGCTAATCAGGTACCCGTGAGCTAGTATAAGAGCTGAGGCGACGAGGAGGAATAATGACGATCATAGGAGGATACCGAGGCCGATATTGATAGTGAATAAGAGAAGACAGATGACTCGAGAACGACCGATAGCATGACGTAAGAACGCATAGCCGATGCAGACGTCTTGATAGAGATAGAGTAGTATCAGAAATGCGAGCAATGTAGTATGAGGCGTGAGATCCGTGATGCTGAGATGAGGCGTAGAAAAGAGAATGCGTAGAGAGACACTTAATCGCACATACACATGCACAACACCAAGGTAACAGTCATGCACATAAGAGAAGAAAGAACGAAACAAGGATAAAAATTAAAGGCCTAATGAGAACTTATTCAACAAATGGAATTGGTATCCCTTAGAACAATGGTAGATTCTCTTCACGAAGAATCTAATAAATACAAAGAGAAGAAAGAAGGATACAAAATCATACTATCGATACGTTTTACATAACCAAAATAGAAAATACAACTCCTATCTTGTAAGATAGTTTATGTTCTTTAGAAGATAATACAAAGGGAATTTGTGTAAAGTTACAAGGAAACATCCAACAAATTTATCACTAGTTCTTATTCTAAACTCCGTAATCTTGAATATTCTGGTCATATCTTATGTGAAATATGTGAATATTAGCAAGTATTGATAGTTTTTATTAATACATGTTGTAACTAAATCTTAGACTAGGGTTTGATGTTAGCTTAATCGTCTTCCAATTAATGCAATTAGAATTTATTTTCATTATCAAGTTAAAGATGATAATAAACTAAATCTGTTTAGCAGAATTTTCCCATCTAGATGGATTTAATTAAATTACACTATCAGGAACGAGAGTATCTTGATAAGAAAAAAAATGGTAAATAAAAACAGCGATGATAATAGAAACTTAATCAGCGGAAACGCTAGTAATCTCTGGTTTGACCTCACATAGGGGGGTTTTATGATTTACAACACCTATAATGTAAAATTACAAACAACTACATAACTTAAAGAATAATCATATTGATTGCGCTATGGACTGATATAGGTAATTAAATGAATAAAATAGCTAGCAAATACATCGGAAGAGCTTGTATGAATTTAGAGTTCGTTTCGATCAACTACACTAGAGAAAATCAAATATGAAAATTAGATTAAGAAAAAAATAATGAAATAAAATTGGAAAAGAAATTAAAGATGAAATCAAAACCCTAAGTTGAGTATGACAATCAAAGTATAGAACTATATTCTTCTAATCTATGGATGTCTTGAAATCAGAGTGTTGTTACTTGTACGTCTGTTTATTACGAGTTATTAAGCACCAGATTCTCGTCAAATTAGGTTAAATAATAATGAGATAACATAATGTTGGGTACCTTAATACAATCGCTCCGAGGAACGGCATATCCTTACACATCATATATTAACTTGTAGCGATCCGTCAACACATTTGAAATACAGCTGTCATAGTTTGGCGACGTGCCTGGGAATTGCAATGACCTAAACAATTATCAATACGAATTATCATTGCGTAGTTAAGTTAGACAATTTGTTCACTTTTGTTTTTAATTGAAGTCATTTGTTATATTTATTGTAGTATCATTGTCTTTGTTTTTATCGGATATGTGAACTTCATATTTCTTGACAATATTGTTTTGAGATTTCAGTCAACAAGTAGTTGCAAATTTATTGCAACTAACATTTAGAGCCATTATGCAGCTGGGCAAGAAGTTAATGAATTATGAAAAAATGTCCTTATTCAAATTTCACTAATAAATTATCAGAACCATATACAACTTACAAATAATCTATAAATGGTAGGACTAGATAAGAGACAAAGAGTTTGATCGAATAATCGAAATTTTCTGACAAACCAGGATTAAACACCATCTGGAAAGCCAGCCTATAAATGTACTTACACTGCTAAATGAAGATGGCAGATTTTGAACAAGCAATTAGCATCGGTAAAGAAAATCAGAATAAACAGGAGAAGAGAGATATTCAAAATCATGATGCATGGGCTGTGAATCACCAAAATCACCATCAAAATTGAGAGTAGGGAAATGAGTAAAAACAAAAAAAATAGAGGATTGAGTTGCCTGCCCCTTACACAGTCTCACATTGAATTGTCATGAAAAAACTAGAAGATTTAAAAATCCAACCAAACAGCAATAAATGAGAGTTTGGAGGCTAGCAAGCAGAGAATGAATAACCGCAGTGGCCAATGTAATGTAGATATGACGGAATGACGAGCGTAATTCCGGAGAAAGGACTTCATGGGAAACTGCATATTAAAGAATAAAGCCACAGTTAAATAATGCAACCCCAGTTTGTCAAGTACACATACTAAATCTCAATTTCCTTCGTTGTGATCAGATATGAATGATTATTAAATGACCAGAAACAGGGATGGATGCTTACAATCGCAGAGAGACATTTTGAGAGAACTTAAAGTAAAACAGCAGAAGCAATATTAGGTGAGAAGAATATATAATGGAGATATCGATATGAGCTCTATTCAATTGGTCTTGTATTAGTTATACATGCCGTTTAACACCTGTTAGTAAGACCTTCCCAAAATACATACACCTGCG